ACACACACACACACACACACAGCACTCTGACCCAGGCTCGTTTCTAGACCTCGAGCCACGCACTTCTTCCCCAGCAGCCCAGTCCCGCCACCAGGCGCGACTGTCCCCTCCCTCTCCAGACGGGAAAGGGCAGGTTAACGCGGCCGCGCGCCCGCTGGACAGGTTTTAGCCTCTTGGGGGCCTACAAGGGAAAGGGGTTAACTAATGTGTGCGGTGAGTGTGCAGATGACAAAATTTAGGGCGTGGAGAGTTTGCCCGGCCCCACCGCATCCGCTCGCGGGGACCCTCGGGTGCTGGGCACCACCGGGCCAGGGCAGCACGTTGTCGCCCCTCCTCGGGCCGGTCGCGAGCGTCTACAGAACAAAGCCTGGAGTCCAGCCCCGGCCCCGGCCCCCGCGCGGCCGCCCCTCGCCCAGCCCCTGGGCGGCAGGGCCCAATCCACGCGCGCTCTCTGGCCCCGCGGGGCCCTGGAAGCCGGGACACGCGGAGGTCCGCAGGGTCATCGGCGTTCACAGCAGCCTCCCACACCAAGCGCACCACCCGGAGACCCTCTGCACGAGCGCTGCTTATTGCTCTTTTCCCCAGCAGCCAGAGTCGCGGGATGGGGCCTCGCAGGCCGGTCTGCAGCAGGTGCTGCCGGGAGCCGCAGGCCGCGCGGTAAATCGCTGTCTCTTTGCGGTCGTTGTTCTCACTCACCGCCCGCCGCCCCCTCCACCAGGGCTTTTTTTTTCCTTTCCGCCGCGCAGTTGCCATGGGTTACCAGAGCGGTTGCCATGGGTTACCGGACCAAGGCCGGCTGGCTCGCTACCTGCCGCCCAGTCGCCGCCGCCAGCAGAGCGGCCCGGGCGGGAGGCGGCGGGAGCGCGCGTGTGCGGGACGCGGCGCGGGGGATGCGCGCGGGCCGCGGAGGCGCTGCAGCCAACAGGCGGCCGAGGGTGCAGCTGCCGGAGCGCCACCGCCAGTGGGGTGGGGGCAAAGCTATAAAGAAGGCCCAGAGGTAAGAAACTAGCAAAAACACAACCACAAGTTATGCCCGTGCTGTGCCTCTAGCAGCAAAGACAAGCGGTGTGGGCTTTTGGATGAATCTACACTTCTCGTCGGGGGAGAAAGGGTATTTTCCTCTTTAGCATAAGCCATTTGCATAGTGTCTTTAGACCAGAGTTTAAATTCAGGAGGAAACTGTAGCTTAATGGGGTTTTTTTTGTTTTTTTTTTTTTTTCTCTCTCTCTCTTTTCCTCTATGTCTTTTGAAAAGAAGTCTTTGGAATTTTGGAGAAAGAGAAGGGGTCATTAACTATCAGTTTGCGCAGCTAAAAAATTAAGTGTCCAATGCACTGCTCATGATCTAGAAAAGTTTCCAGTAAGACTGAAGCGCAATTGTGTCTGCTAAAAGGGACAATGGTGACTGGTTTGTAAGATGCATATGGCAAAGAATAGAACCAAAGTCCTTTGTATATATAGCAAATGTTAAAGAAATTGTTGCTTATTTACATCCTTCTGAAATTTTTGAACTCCACTCTATTAAAATTATTAATTTCTTATGACGTTTATTTGCAAAGAAAATTCTATGCTTTGAATGTCAAATTGCAGTAACTAATTTCAGACAGTATTTTGTATTTGAAAATGTATTTATACATAATCAACTAAGAAAAGGTCTGTATTCCAAACAAAAACACAGAATTGTATTGAAATAAATTGTTTCCTTCACTGAAAAGATGTTGCGTTGTACTCACAGGATACCACCTAATAATTTAAATATTAAGGGGAAAGCTATTTAGAAACAGAATAAGCTTTGTTATTTTTGTTTTTTAAATGTTAAGAGGCCTCTAATGAACAAGGGTCCTCTTTTACAGCTCAAATACTGAAAGCCTTATTTGTACCACAGTAGCTCAATAACAAGGAATCTTTAAGGCACCCAAAAAATACAAACCAAATTCAAAACAACATCCAGTTTACTGTTGGATATAACAGTGATTGTGGCCAGGCTAAATGAATTTGTTTAACTTCTTAATTGTCATAAAAGAAAATTTGTTCTTTTACTTTATACTGCATATCAGCTGTTTGTCTTTAATTATTCAATAAAATGTAAACTAGATTTGAAAAACTAGTAAGATACTTAATATCTTAAGGGATAATATCTGCTTAAAAATAAATACTTGTTTTTCCCTAGTAATTTTCAAAACTTGAAATTTTAACTAGAATTAAGTAACTTTCTTTCAAGTGAGACTTTATAAGAAGCCTAAGTAACAGGTTGTTGACTTTCACTGTTGACACCTTTGGGTTATATATAAATCTGGTTCTACAACAAAACACATAAATTGGCTGTATAGGTGAATAGTTTACCCTTTCAGAATTAGCCAGGGAAAATGCCATTTTGCTGTATTGTAATAAGAAAGAATCCAGGAATACAATTCTTTACATTTGAGTCACATTAAAAATAGTGTTAAACATCTATTCTATTCAGGTTAATTACCAAAAGCAATTATTTTGTTTTTCCTAAAGAAAGCTTTATAAAAATATGCCAGAGAAAAATAAGAGACGAAGCAAGAAAACCACTGGGAACTGAAGTTCATCTAAATCTTTCAGCTGCAAAAAATCAGTTTTCAGAAGCCAGTGTGTAGACACCAAAACAACTGAACCAAGGCTAAATGCCTCAAATATGTACAACTATAGCAAATATCAGACCACGTTTTACCAAATTTCATCATCAAAAAATTCAAAAACACTGAGTTTTGGTCTAAGGCAGAATATATTCTCTTGTACAAAATAAGTGATCCAGCAAAGTTGATTTTTTTTCACGTTTAATGTAAAAATGATGAACTCATTACATTTACATACCAAATATTAGGCATTACTTAATATTAATTTTGATGGCTATGATACATTATCTAAAAATAATATGACAATTGGTGGCACAGTATGTGTTTTTCAAAACAGCTGTAAAACAAATGTCAACTCAAATACATATTAATTAAAGGATGAGGATCACTCTTAAATGCCTGGATGGCACAAACTTTACATGTTAGCATGGTAAGAAATTGCTAAATATTTTCTTTTCCTGTATTAAAATCATGAGGATCTAAGACACATTAAATCAAAATATTTACCAAAATTTAATAATGTTTTAGACCAAAGAAAAAAGGACAAAGAAAAAAGAAATCATTCTTATTCTGAATTTAATTTTTTAAATGTTAGTTTTTAGTTTTGTTAGCTTTTTTTTTTCTGTTGGTTCTTTGAAACAAGCATTGTAAAGACTTTTTAATAATACAATAACTTTTAAATTCCTAGTGAAAATGAAAAGTTGCTTTTTGTTGCAGCTCTGGCCACTCTCCAGTTAGGCTGGGTAACATTTAATTAAAGCAACAAGTTATCCTAGTTATCTGAAAATACCTTTTTGTTAGTTTCACAGAAATATTTTGTGCCATTCAACATGGAAGAAACTTGAGTAATTATCTCACAAAAATTCTGCCTTATCTGAAATCTGAAGTTCAAAACAGTTTATCTAAGATACCTTTGGGACACTAAAAAAAAAAAAAAAAGACATTTTATAAAATTATACTAGTCTTCAAGTGGATGCTTTAAAAGAAAGGGCCTTTTTAATGAATATTTCTGAAATTAGCAAGTTGACATCCTTTTCTAAATTATGGGAATATTTATTGGTAAAATTAAATTTATTAATTTTTATAAGATCCTTCCTCTGATTTAAGTAGTAAGTAACCACCACTGATACTGAAAGTTATCTAGTGATAAGAAATTGCACATTTAGTCAGAAAATAAATCATTAACCTATAGTTCTAATTATGTGATAATGAAAACAAACGATTTATCTCCAGAAACCATTTGGTGAAGCTGATTTTGGACAATGAAAATGTCTTTCTGAATCTGTATATTGCAATTATAAGTAATATTATTAGCACTATCTATGTTTTTTTCTAAGATGTAAACATTATTTTAATATGTCTCTACTCATAAGATACATTTCCATCTAAGCGTGAAACAGAATACTGGAAAGGTTAAATACTCTTAAAATAATTCAGTCAAACACCCAAAAGCATAGTGTTTTGCCAGTGCGTGGGAGGTATCTACAAAATATCAGCCACATGTCTTGAGAGAGGCAGTCTCATCTATGCTGTTACTCTTCATAGTGGTTAATAACATATACACTGTGTTTACGGTAACACTGCCCCATGATACAAGAAGAAATGCTGTATCTTGATTTTAAATGCTACTTATTTACCTATCTTTTTAAATTCAATAAAGACAACTAGGTTTTTTAAAACATGTAAGTCATTTCATTTGAGAGCAAGATCTTGTTTACCAATAATGTCTGCCTATAAAGGATAGTATTACATTCACAGGATTTTTAGCTTTACACAGAAGCTTACCTAAAATAAGACAACATAAAAATATCATTAATAAACAACCCAACATCTTTAAGAATTTAAATACCTAACATCATGACACTGAGCTTTAGGTAAGAATATACTGTTACGAAGCTATCTTCTCTATGACTGGACATAATTTGCTGTTCCTAAGATAGTAACATTAGAATTATTTTTCAGGATTCCTGCGGAGCTGTATTTACTTTACATCCATGTGAACTGCTGTCATCACTACTGTGTCCAAGCCCAGAGGATGAACTGGAAAAGAAGAAAGGGGGAAAATAATAAAAAGAGGAAATTGGTTTTCACAACACACTCAAAGCCTGAGTAACAGAGGAGAACTTTAATTATCTCCAGTCACAAAGAGAGACAGGAAATTTGGACTTTTAATTAGCCATTTGGAGTGCAGTTGGGTATTTTTTTAGCTAGATAATTTAAACGCGAATAATTCAAGTCTGACTAAATGAAAGTCACATAATCAGAATGCAAATAATTGAATTTCTACTGCATTCATTAATTCAGTGTGGAGGTGTGTGTGAAGACTACTATGATGAGCTGTCACAGCTCAATAAAATCTCAGTCAATTAATTTTTTCATTATCTTAGAATTACATCAACAAAAAAGGGAAGTGTGTACATATATCTACACACATGCATATGTGCACTATGTGTTATATAAATACATATACATTAAATCAAAACGCAAGGAAATACCTTTCTGAATCATAATCTATATCATTTTCTTTTTTTCCTTCTTCATCTTCTTCAGGGAACCGTCTGTTCATCAAGGCAAACTTGTGAATTGCTTCTTCCACAGAGTACTTAGTCTGCCCCGAAACACACGCCTCAATGTCTTCTGAATTCAGATGGCTCTGTAAGAAGAGGTGAAGGCTGCTATCTGAAAGCAAAAGTGCATTCTGTAGGACTCTAGATATAAAAAAAAGGAAGAATAATTGGTGAACAGGATGGTCAATGATAGGGCAGAAGAAAGAAAAATCATTAGAAATGTACCACTGAAGTTAATTTCTCTACTGTGGTAAACTTTGCATCAATTATGGGCTCTGCCCATTAAGGGGAGGAAAGCATATGTTAACTTTTATTCAATTATTTGGAAATTTAGGTGGGTGAAAAAATGCAGCTAATAGTTAAGAACATCTGTTAAAAGAATAACTTCAAGGACATTTCTTCAATTTAACCATCTGTTATTACCATGTGGATTAATTATGGAAATATTTTGCTTATATAGTCATAGAAATTTATTCTACTTTAAAAAAAAATTTACTGCCAACAGCATGTCAATTCAGTGATCTTTATGGGATAGGCTGTCATGAAACATCAAAACTTTCAACTACTATTAAAAATTATATGAAGAGGTTGATACATTTCTTAGCATAGTTTATATTTTAAAACTTTACAAATATAGTTATATATTTAAGTGCATGTTTATAACAGCTCATGAGAGAGATGGCTTTTTTTAATACTTAAGGTTGACTAGAAATTTATCCAAAATCTTTGGCGGCACTGAATCACTGTGTTGTCAAAATGAGCAACCAAATAAAATTGATCCCAGCCAATTTTACCATATACATAATTAAAATATGATAATTTAGTAATGAGTACATGCTGTTCTTCCCACATTCAAGATCAAAGTTTACAAAGAACAGATTTCAACTAGGGCATCAGAACTACATGGAAAATTTAAAACTATTCTGTAGTTTTTAATTTAAAATCTATAGATGCTCAAATTCTTATCATCGGTGAATTTGTTTTCTCTGAATTCACATCTTAGAATATGAAATCAAATCAAAGTACACCTTTATATTTAAATAAAAACTGGTTTATCTTTTTAGCAAAGATGTTGACATATGATAATTTAGTCTCTACTAACAGTTCAATAATTACATAAGAGGAGACACTAAGACCAGATATAGGGGACAAAACTAAAACACTGAAACCCAAGTATAATTTTGACCAACAAAAGATTTTTCCAATATAATGATCTATGAAAAATAGATCATGTATTTCAGACCAAATGAACCTTACTTTATATTCTGCTTTTTAAAATAAGTAATAAGGAAAGTAAATCTCTTTTGGCCATTAATATTGATTTAGTGAAAATCTTAAGGTCATTAGAATACCAAGTCCTTTTCTACAAAATAAAACAATTATTTCTTAAAGAAGGCAAAAATGCCCAAAAATGCACAGTAGTAAAACCAAAACCTAGCTGTCCCTTTTCTTCAGCAGGTTTACAGTTTGAGAAAATATTCTTTACTGGTCTATTAAAAGGAAAAGGAAAACTTTTGTGCTTTTTAAAAGGCAAAACCTCAAGCAAAGCAGCTAAATCCTTCCTTTTCCTTCTGTGTCCTCGGCCCTGGGTCCTCCCAGAAGATGACCATGTCACATGATAATGATGCATTTACCAAGTACAAGTAGCTAAGTAGTAAATCCCTTTTACTACTCTTTGAGATTTATTTTCTACATTTACAAATGTTTACCATTCTTATTTTAAATGCTTCAGATTAAGAGAAGAGTTATAGAGCAACAGCCATTAATATGAACATGGATCGTGAAGTCCGTGAAGTCTGAGGAGTGTTTCCTGTGGCCGCTGTCAGCAGTTTCCTGCCTGCCCTAAGTACAAGGAACTTTTCCTAGGATTGTACTCGCTGCTTTGTTTCTGTTGGAAATGTGTTTTATTTTCTTTATAAAATAATGGGTAATCTTTAAAATTGATTTTAGATGGTTTGAGGCATTACACCACAAAAGTAATGAGCACTAATGCCAATGATATTGGACACAAATTCATTTTAGCTTTATTTCATGTCTGAAGCAATTCTACTGAGCCTTGAACCGCTCACGTACTGTTATTAACTTGCTAGTAACTTAACACATGGGTACAGCAAACAAAAGTGATCATAGTCCAGGTTGATCAGGACCTCAAGGCTACTGTCCTTTTTCTTGAGCTATAATTCAATTTCCAATTTTACTGTACATTAGACTCATTATTTCCAAGTTTTCTTTTCTGCTCAATACTGCCATCTGGAGGACACACAGATGAAAAGAGAAAGGGCCAGGCCCACCCAGCTCACAATTAGAAAGAGGGAGACAGATGTGGCTGGGGAAGGAACATCTGAAGCCCCCTAGGCCTACAGTTCAAACCAGTGAGTGGCCTAGGCACAGTTTTGGTTTTTGGAATCCCCTCTGTTTCTCTGTCTAAATTCATGCCACCATACTCCAAGAGTATGAGATAAATAAGCAAAAATAATTTTTTTTGTTTGTTTTTTGTTTTTCGTTTTTTTTGGGGGGGACGGAGTTTCGCTCTCGTTACCCAGGCTGGAGTGCAATGGCGCGATCTCGGCTCACCGCAACCTCCGCCTCCTGGGTTCAGGCAATTCTCCTGCCTCAGCCTCCTGAGTAGCTGGGATTACAGGCACGTGCCACCATGCCCAGCTAATGTTTTGTATTTTTAGTAGAGACGGGGTTTCACCATGTTGACCAGGATGGTCTCGATCTCTTGACCTCGTGATCCACCCGCCTCGGCCTCCCAAAGTGCTGGGATTACAGGCGTGAGCCACCGCGCCCGGCCGCAAAAATAATTTTGAATGTCTTTATATGCTTTTAATTTTATAGTCAGATAGTTCATTCTGAAATTTAAAATGAAAACATTTGAGAGTGTTTTCCCATCTGGTTAGGTGAGCATAATTAATTTATTTTGAGTACTATTTGGCTTACTATCAGAGAGGGCTATGACTGCCACCATCATACTATTAAATCCTATTTTTTCTTAGTCATGTTTGTGCCATATTGTCCACAAACAAATGTAATAGCAGAAAATCAATTTCAAACTTAATATAAAGAGTACTCTGTAAAACAGTCAACAAAACGTCATTTGTAGGAACCTCCATTTAAAAAGTACATGATTTTCAGACCTTTATAAAAGGAATAAAAAATAGCCTATAGAATTTTAAAAGAACTTCTAAAAAGATATTTATGGTGCAGATCAGAAGTTATTCCTTTCCCTATAACAATTTCAGACTAAACAAAGCAAAATCTGTTTTTTCCTTGAATTGGAACCAGTTGAAAATCAGTTTTCTTCAATGAGATTTTATTAGATGTATTGTATGCTGGTTTAGCTGAGAACAATATATAGCTATACAAAATCATTTCACCCTAACTAAGGATGTCCTGGATCTACTGAACTCAACACAGCGATATATATATACATCTGTATAGTACATGGAAGGTTAGCAGTCTGATGTAGAAAAAAAAATTGACTCAGCTTGTTTAGCTCTTAATATAAGAAAAAATAAAACCTACAAATCTTCATTGAAGACATTCATGATCTGTGCTATGGTGCCCTCTATTGAACACAAAGACATAAAAATTGTGTGTGTGTAAAACTAGTTTCACGTTTCAACAGTAGCCTTTTGTAAAAAAAAAAAAAAATTCCTTAATATTTGAAGAAATACAAAACTGTGACATAAAAGTTTAAACTGTAGGGTAAATGTAATTGTATTAATGGGATGAATTCAGTAGAAAGGAAGCTGGCTCCCAGTCATGAATAAATCTGTTCAAACCTAAATTGAAAATCCCATTCAACCTAAAAATTAGTAAGAATTTCATTTTTCACAATTGAAGACTTAGAGTTTATATTTTTTAGTCTGTAACCTTCTTTTCATAACTATTAGAAGTGACTTTAAATTTATAATTACTCTGGAGCAAGAATACAAAAAGGAGATTATAGTCAAGACTGAAGCAAAATGAATATATTTGAATATATATCTTATAATCATACCAAATGTAGCCTGCATTTAAGATTACTGCTCATTTTAAATTTGCCAGGTCCTGGGATTCTTATAGTACCTCCACCTTTCCTATAATTTCTTTATCTATAAAACTGAGATAATACCCAACTCCTAAGATTTTTCTATGTACTGAGATTAAAACATGTAAAATGCCAAACATGTAGTAAGTGTTCGATAAATGGTAGAAATTATTCTTATTTGGCACCTAGTCAAAGAAACAATTTTCTAATTCCTCTACAAAGATCAATGCTTTTTTATTAAATATGTAACATTTCACAAATGACCTTAAAGAAAAATAGGTGTATATACACATATACAAAGACATTGTGGTCTCAAAAGATTTGAACATATTTAGTGCTTCCAGTTCATAACTTCAAAACTTACATGAAAACCAGGCTTTAAAAATACATGCTAAAACCCTACAATACAAGCAGGTTTCCACGTTTTAATGCTGTGGTTCCTAAAATTCCTCTACAAACAAGATGCAGGCTATTGATGGCTGGCCCTACTTAAGAGGTAACCAATGGGGCCTTAGAGGATGTCAAGCTGGGGCCACGACACACAACATACACATCACATCCAATTTCCCCAAGTGAACCTGGGTTGGGTGAGGGGAGGGGGCACCAGGGCAAAGACATGGAGGGTGCTACCTTACACAACTTGGGAAAGCACAGATCTGTAGGACACAAAAGGGAGGCTGGGCACAGAGCCCAGGTGAGGCCTGAAGCTAGCCCTGTGGTGTCTGACTCCTCACTTCCTTCAGGCTTAGGCTGTATAGAAGCTCCAGCTTTCATTTTTAAAATGAAATCTTAGCTTGGAGACAAATGTTCACATACCCCAGTGGAATAAATGATATCACAAGAGAACCCCCTGCTGATTCCACGATTTGACAATCCAGTCAAATGACAATCCAGATTCTGTGTTAATGAGTCTAGCCCTTGAGAGGTACACAGTGCTCCCCACTAGAATGGAAGCATCAAGAGGACAAGGACTTGTTCATTCTGTGCAGTCCTATGTCCGTGGCACACATCCTGGCCCAAAGCATACACTTAATAAACATCTGCTGAATGAAGGATCGCTGCATGGTTTTTGGAGTTTTTTTCAAGTCCTTTTCATCTGTAGGACACAAACACCCAGTGAGGCTGGCTATGTGTGGATAATATTACCCCATTCTATAGCAAACAAAGGCTTAAAAGGAATGAAGTGACTATTACAACAGCATGCAGCTGGAAAAAAAAAAAACAGAAACCATGATTATAGAAGACCTAGAACCCGCACCTTGAGTACCTGAACCAGGATACTTTCTACCATGACATCTGCATCAAATACAGCCAGCAAACAGTCAAGCCATGCACTGTGCAAAAATAACCTGGCACAAGCATAACCCCACTATGCTGAATGACATTCACTGGGTCATTAATTTTGGTAGATCAACTGTGGATAGAAAGGTTGTGTTCAAAACAATGAAGTAATTCCTGGTCAAAAATACAAGCCCTGAGCTTAACTAGCAATATAATTCAGAGGCACATGCTGTCTTTGGACCTGAAGTAAGACTTCTCTACAGAAGACAAGCTGCCACAGCTCCCCCAGGACAACATCTATACTAGAGTGACAGGCAACTCTAGAATCAGGTTGCAGGGACCACATCTCAAGGGAGAGGCCATCAGCCACCTGAGCCTCATAGAGACAATTAAAATCAGAGCTCTCCTTGAGGGGAAAGGGCAGGAAAAACTTGGCCAAGTCTCTGTCCTGCCATGCCTGTGATACCCCCCAAAAATACAATGAAATGTTTTTGGAGGACTTGGCTCTGCTCATCAGTTCTTCTGGTCTCTTGCCATTTGTATTCCTCTGGCTTCTCTTCCTTTGCCCACTCTCCCTCAATTTATAATCTTGAATTTTTCTGTATGTCTCTAGGACACCTTCAAAGGAAAGGCACTATGTCAATCTGATAAATATTCATGTGCATACTTAATACCCAAACCCTTTATGAGAGAGCCAAACGGGGAGGAGGCAGTATATTATTTCAGGCTAGGTCTAAGGTCCTATTTAGTGAACCCCAAAGGAGATGACTGATCCTGAAACTACTAGAAAAAGGATGAGAGTCTGGGAGATTGGGCCCTGTCACTAACTAGTAGTCACATGACTCAGCCTGTTTCCTCATCTACAAAATTGGAAATTAGAAAAGTAAAAGCTGTCTCATGTCTAAGTGCATTAAGATAACAACAGCCAACACAAAGATAGCACACATTCTATGCTAGACACTGTCATGAGTGCTTTACAGTCAATAACTCATTTAATCTCTCAACAGCCCTATGAGGTAGCTACTATGATTACCCCATTTTATAAATGGGAAGACACAGTCAGAGGTGGTATAGTATCTGCCCAAGCTCCCAGCTTTTAAGTGGCAGAGCCAGGTAGCCTGGCCTCAGTGCAAATCAACGTGCTACATGGGCTCTAGCGTTCTGGATATTCTAGCATTTCAAAGAGTGGAGGGGAGGAAAATCACTGGTACTGTGAACTCCAGCAGCTTTAACTGCAGTACCCACCACCACAAAGTAATCCAGATTAATAACTCACCGAGATTGTTCACATGCCACCAAATACTCCTTGATAAACATTCCCTCCAAAGGTTAGAGTTAAAACATTAGAGGAACCCAGAGGACATTAGCAGCCCTTCATAGAGCTGATTTTGGTCTATAAATTCTAAGCATTGTAAACAAAGACAGTTTTTAAGAAGCGCGTTTTGGGCCAGTGGCTCACGCTTGTAATCCCAGCACTTTGGGAGGCCAAGGCAGGTGTATCACCTGAGGTCGGGGGTTCAAGTCCAGCCTGACCAAAATGGAGAAATCCTGTCTCTACTAAAATACAAAAAAAATTACCCAGGCATGGTGGCGTATGCCTGTAATCCCAGCTACTAGGGAAGCTGAGGCAGGAGAATCACTTGAACCTAGGAGGTGGAGGTTGTGGTGAGCCGAGATCATGCCACTGCACTCCAGCCTGGGCAACAAGATCAAAACTCCATATCAAAAAAAAAAAAAAGAAAAAAAAAAGCACCTTCTGATAATTAGGCATATTTGTTTCCTGACAAATTTTTGTTTTTGTCAGGTAAACTCCCATGTAATTTGAATCTGCTTGACAGCTTAAGGGACCAAGTATTTGTTATCTACTTCAATTCATTCATTGTTTCCTTTCTAGAAGACTTGGTCCCAAATATGTACCAGATGATGTGAACCACAAGATGGTGCTCTAATATAGGAAATGGACCACTGGGTTTCATTCTAGTGCATATTATTTGCATTTCAGAAACAGGAACATTCTTCCCCACACCATCATGCAGCTCTTGCAAAGCACTTGCTCACACTCCTTGTCTGGCCACAGAAGTTTCTAGACACTCACTTTCTGAGGAAATCTTCCAGACCCTGGCGACGCTGATCCACATGTTGGCGATTGTTCATGTTGAAAAATAAGTTTTTAGATGGAAGTTCCGGCAGTTGTCTTAGGAGAAAGAAAAAAAAAAATTTTAATGATTAATTCAAGGTGCTTCTATTACAGAAATCCCTCAAAGTGAAGGCAAATTATGTATGATTATTATTATCACACAGTTATTCTATAATTATGATTATACATTATATACTTATATAATAAGGGTATGAGGAAATCAGTTAGCTTAAGGAAGAACCCATCTTTAAACATTTCTGAGGCCTTTCATGGCCTATTCTCATCAACGTTGGTGAAATTTAAGTGATAAATTTTAAATTCAGATGCAGTAGCTAAAAAACTAAAGCTACATATATTATAATCAAGGCAAAGGCCTATAGAAATCCTTCGTATCTTATATATCTTAATGAACATCAATTTTAAACATTAAATATAATAACAAAGTCTCCTCAAAATACTCTAAATCACTTACACCAGCAATGCATTACTTTGGAGTCTCTGCCTCAGCCACACGAATTCTCTATATCTTCTTCGTACACAGGACGTTTTCATTGTAAAACACATGCTATTAGTCTGTACAGAGAAAGTAGAAAGACATGAGTCATACCTGAGAAAAAATGTGTTCCTCATATCTATAATTCACAATATGATCCCAGTATTCATTCTAAATAGGATTTAAATCACCAAACTTATATTTATGCCAGTACTCTGAAATCTTGCATATAACCCAGGAACATGACAGCCGGGATGATGGGAATGAGCAGTATTGCCCGAGGGCGAGGTATGACCTGGGTCCTAAAGGAGCCGCCTACTCACCTATGAACACTGCTTTCAAGAACAAATCATAAAAAATAAATCCTAACATATAAATGACAGGGAGGAGCTCAGGTTCATCCGCTGCATTTTACAGCCATCCATGTAAGCCGGAGGAGTCTTTGGGGCTTAGAGACACCTCCTCGCAGTCCTTTATGAGACATCGCAGAAACCTTCACCTCCTTGACATGGCCAACCTGCAGATCACACAAATCACCAGGTATCCTGAAATCACTTTTAAACTAGAGAACAGCCTTCCCTTCTTTACTGGATGTGAGAGGAAGCATGTCCAGGCCAGAGAGCGGCTGTGATGCGTGGAGATAAGCATCTGGCACAGAGGACAGGCAGGCCAAAATTCCAGTCCTGGCTCTGCTATAGGGAAGTCACTCAGACTTCAGTTTCCTGAGTGCTAAAATGGGATGAACTAGCACATATCTAATTCACAGGGTGGTGGTGAGGCTTGATAATAAGCACTTGGCCAATGTTATCTATTAATATGATTATTAGTTACTTAGTGTTGGTGTCCTTCTAGCTACCCTAAGGCAGACTTGGAAAAAGCCACTTAAAGTGTCGCCATGCTAAGCTCAGCCACAATGCCTCTACTTTGGGTAAATATAAGACAAGAGTAAATATTCTCCTTCAAGTAAAACAAGAAACTAGCAAATATTTGTTTCTCCTCGTTTTTGAAAATACAAATATCTCTATTCTCTGCATTTATTTCAAAATCTGATTTTCTAATCTTTACTAAATGAGAAACAATTTTTTACCCCCAAGATCACTACTATGTCAAAAATTACTATTCTACCACTTATTTTGCCCAGCTATTGTTTTCCTTGGGAAATCTAAGTAATTATGTACGTTAGATTTTTTTTTTTTTTTTTGAGATGGAGTTTTACTCTTGTTGCCAAGGCTGGAGTGCAATGGTGCAATCTCGGTTCACCGCAACCTCCGCCTCCAGGGTTCAAGCAATTCTCCTGCCTCAGCCTCCCAAGTAGCTGAGATTACAGGCATGTGCCATCATGTCCAGCTAATTTTGTATGTTTAGTAGAGACAAGGTTTCTCCTTGTTAGGCTGGTCTCAAACTACTGACCTCAGGTGATTCGCCCACCTCAGCCTCCCCAAGTGCTAGGATTACAGGCGTGAGCCCCTGCGCCCAGCCACATTCGTTCTTAAACTGTTCTCATAAAATATATGACACGGTTTCTGGTATTCTCATGCTTCATAAAGTTCAGAAAACTTCAGAATGTAGACAGGTTAAGAGGCTCACCCCCAAGGTGCCCACTGGTCTAAATCTCACTATCTTTAACAATATGGCAGCAAAACCCACTGGAAGGATTTTGTGGCAGATAACTTTCTGTGGGTGGACTTAGAGCACACTGGGGCCTCACTCTAATGTGCTCCTTGGGGACTAGGCTAGCAGACCATGTTATACCTGAACTGGTGCCCTAACGAGGCTTGAGCAGGTATCTTCCCAGTACCCTCTCCCTAAAGAATACCAGACCACTGCAGGGACTCCTGACATCTCAGACACACACTGGGTCAATTCAAATTCCCTTTAATTTTTCTGCTTACAACCACCATGGCTGTCAATAACTAAAAATCCACCTGGTACCTACACCAGACTAAGGTTCATCCATAAGTCCTTCATTTGCAGGGAAGGTTCAGGGAAATATTTATGATGGCTACCCAGCTCTAGGGTCTACTAGTTTAAAATTCCAAGTAAGTGTTAAGATTCCAGAGTTACATGACATCATCTCCTACCTCCAAAGCTCTATGGGTGTAACATCTAAGAGAAGCCAACCAGAACTCTCTAGCTCTGCCATCCACTTTTAATTGTATGACAGGTGGAAGTCTCTTGAAGATTAGAAGATACTGAGTTCACTAAATGATTAAGTTCCTCTAAATCTATTTGCTTGTTTTTGCTGTCCACCAAGCCCAGGCTTACCCATTGTCAATTTATTAACATTTCAGAGAAGTACCAGAACAGCATCAAATAATATTTGTGGAACCCATTATTTCTAGCTCCGGATGGAGATTTCTGAATTTGCATCAGACTATTTGTAGAGCACAGAAGAATCTATACCTTCATTACCTCCTGGGAGTAATTAAATTTCACGCCTATCATGAAGTGTGTGATTAGGACGCACAATTTTTTTTTTTTTAGAGAAAGTTAGAAGGCAACTAAAAATATTTCATTTTACTTCAAATGCTTATTCTCATATAGGCATAATTTTCCACACAGAATGCAACTCTAGTGTGATCTTATGAGTAAAACCAAAACAGAATCAAAATACGTGGCATATCCTGGAACGGCTTTACAACACAATCAAAAAAGCAGTTCTGAGTTTTTCCTTTATTTTCTAAGTTGGGAAACTTCAAAGCAAAAGGGGAAGAAAACAGAATTTTAAAAAAAGAGAAGTTTTATGGCTAGTGTTTGGGTGTCCAACACACCAAGTTAGCTAATTACAACAGAAGGATTAAATGATGGCTAAATTTTACTTCACTTGTGCTATTCAGTCATGGATACAATCTGGGCCAATTTCGATACTCCTGAATTGAAGTAATTTAGTTTGCATCTGATATGCATCTGATTTAGATGCAAAAAGTATTATCCTCAAAATCAGGGGCCAATAAACTACAGCCCAAGGGCCAAATCTAGTCTGATATCTGACTTTGCAAATAAAGTTTTATTAGAACACAATTATGATCATGTATGCATTGTCTGTGGCTGCTTTCCACCTGCAACAGCAGAAATGAATAGTTTTGACAGGAACTGTATGACCCACAAACTGCAGATATTTACTACCTTTACAGAAAAAGTTTGCTTACCCTTGTTTAAGATGATCCCAGAAGGCCACACACCATACAAAATTGTTCAAGAGATTGTGACACAGTAGGACCCAAGCAAGGCACATCATTTCTAGTTGCTTACTCATTACATTAATTACTCAGATTCTAGACAAATTAATCACAATAATTGCACATATCCATTTCCCACCTTCTGATTCTATATGTAAAACACCACACATCTCTTTTCCAAAGAACTCTATATCCTCTCAAACTTTAACATTATCAGGCATTATGTTATCCAGAAATATGCTATAGCAGATCATAAGAAATACCATTAACGAGATGTAAGTACTCTTTACCCATGCATTTTAGATGCATTCACATCTTTATGTGAAGGCAATAAACATTAAAATATTAATATTAACAAAGGAACAATAAAGGATTCAAATAATAATTTTCCAACTTTAGGAACCATCTTACTATTTCATGTAAGATAAAACATTAGTTGTAATCATTCAAATTCAGGTCTCTGAATTAGAAAAACTTTTACAAGTGTCACCTTTAAGTATTCCATAAAATGTATCCCATAAAAGACCCTCAAAATTATACTCTTTCTACTAACTACTGACTACATACTTACATGAATACATATCTCATAGTCAATGTAAGAATGCCAGAAGTCCTCCTTCTGAATCCTAGGATCTCGAACCCAGACACTTACAAACTCCTGTAATGGCATCATAAACAAAGAAATATGTTTCAGAACTGCAAGTAGGACTGGAAAGAACTGAGACAAACGACGGCACTAAAACAAAACTGAAATGAGCTTTTACCAATGTGGTACTTGTAATCCTTTCAAAAACAAGAAGTAAAGTTAATGAATCAGGAACCACGAGCAAATCCAGAAAACACTTTTGCCACATAATGGAATTTTTTAAATAATGCAAAACTGAGGTGGGCGCACTTCTGGATAGTTTTACAGGTTATCTGAAGACAAAGTATACTGCACAACTGATTTTTAATTTTTAATCACAAAATATTGCTTCAGATTTTTTTTAATTTAAAAGTGATCATTTCTTACTTTTGTCATCTCTCCAAATTGAAACTATGGGCCCTTCTGAATAAGCTGCTTCCTAGGACAGGAAAGCAAATAAGAAAGGGCACCAGGCCAAGCATGGTGGCTCACACCTGTAATCCCAGCACTTTGGAAGGATCTCTTGAGCCCAGGAGTTTGAGACCAGCCTGGGCAACATGGCAAAACCCCATCTCTACAAAAAAAAAAAAAAAAAAAAAAAAAAAAAAAATTAGCCAGGTGCAGCGGTGTGCGCCTGTAGTCCCAGCTACTCAGGAGGCTGAGGAGAGTGGATCACTTGAGCCCAGAAGGTGAAGGCTGCAGTGAGCCTTGATTGTGCCACTGCACTCCAGCCTGGGCAAAACAGCAAGACCCTGTCTCAAAAGAAAAGAAAGAAAAAGAAAGGATATCAGAGGCGATGGGAAAAGTAAGCAATGAGGGTTGAAGTTGACTTTGTGCATGCAACCTAGCCGCATGAGAATAAGCCGTAATAACATATTAACAGAAAAATGAACACCTCCTTTTACATACTTTTCTATTTTTAAAATACATTTCCCATACATTAAATCATTTCATCTTCATAATATCTTTGTGTTACATGTAAAAGTTAGAGATATTAAAAATCATATATAGTAGATAATTTTGTTCTTTTATAAAGATAAGAATAGGAAACATGGGATAAAATTTAAAACAACACTTTTCAAGAGGTGCTCTTTACTAAACAGGTTTAGTTTAAAAATATGAAAATGTACAGCAAAAAAGTATGTTTCACATGATAAGTTTTTAAATGTAACGTATTTACTCAGTGATCATAAATTTGCTGAGTTTGACTTTAAATAATACAGTTTTTTTATAATATTGGGACTTCAAGACTGGCATTCAGGCATTTCTTACTGCTTCCTGGGGCACATCTGAGAGGCAGGCTATGAACGTTCAAGATCAGAAGTAAAAGAGAGATCGGGGGCTTTCTGGGCAAAGTACCTCTATTGTGTCAGACAGATAATTAAATGAGACTCTTCATTACAGGCAATTTTTTAAAATCAAAAAAATACACCACATTCTTTGAAAGTAACTTTTGCCACCTATCAAGTTTCACCTTCTAGGGCAACACACACTTTTTCCTTGCACTAGAACTCCTGTCCCACTGCCTGTCTTCAGTAGACAGGGAGTATGAATTACTGTTCCAAAAAGTCTTATTTTAAAATATTTTCATTACGTATTTTTTAAATCATTTAGGGGACAGATTAAGAACAAGATAGGCCGGGCACAGTGGCTCACGCCTGTAATCCCAGCACTTTGGGAGGCTGAGGCGGGTGGATCACCTGAGCTCAGGAATTCCAGACCAATCTGGCCAACAAGGTAAAACGCTGTTTCTACTAAAAATACAAAAATTAGCCGGGCATGGTAACAGGCGCCTGTAATCTCAGTTACTTGGGAGATTGAGGCAGGAGAATTGCTGGAACTCGGGAGGCGGAGGGTGCAGTGAGCAGAGATGGCGCCATTGCACTCCAGCCCAGGCCGACAACAGCAAGACTCCATCTCAAGAAAAAAAAAAAGAAAAGAAGAACAAGACAACAACATAGTGATGCTCTAAATGCTTTAGCCATTATTTCTTTTCATTTTTCTGTTTTTTGAGATAGGGTCTCACCCTAGCACCCACACTGGAGTGCAGTGGTGCAATTTCAGCTCACTGCAGTGTCAAACTTTAGGGCTAAAGTGATCCTCTTACCTAAACTAATCCTACTCCCAGCAGCTGGACTACAGGTGGATGCCACCATGCCCAGCTAATTTTTTAACTTTTTATAGAGACGAGGTCTCGCTATGTTGCCCAGGCTGATCCCGAACTCCTAGGCTCAAGCAACCCTCCTGCCTCAGCCTCCCAAAGTGCTGGGATTATAGGCATGAGCCACTGTGCCCTGGCCATTATTATTTCTTCCTCTCTATTTCCTTTTTTTTAAATGCACATTAAGAGACAACCATTATTTCTTTAAAACACATGCTAAATTACAAAAGGAAATTTAAAAAAATTTTTTAAACCAAAGTATCCATAATAGCCCCTAACCACAATATGATATGGCACATTCTGCCCAGGGTTGGAAACAGAAGCAAAAATCCAGGTACTCTGCTCTTGGTCTATGCTTTTCACCTCCATCTCTTGTCACTGTGTATGTGTGTGTGTCTCTTAAATTCATTTTCCTATAGTACTTTTCACATACCCACAGTTCTCAGAATGAACGATCAATCATTTAAAATGAAAAATTCATTTTAATTTCACAGTGGCCCAATGCCAAGGCCTATGAATCAATGGACAGAAGGACAAATAGAAATAGGAGAGAAGCACAAGTCCACACGTGTGTGTGTGTGTGTGTGTGTGTGTATGTGTATTTTTTTTTAGACAGGGTCTCGCTCCATCACCCAGGCTGGAGTACAGTGACACGATCTCGGCTCAATGCAACCTCCACCTCCAGGGTTCAAGCAATTCTCCTGCCTCAGTCTCCTGAATAGCTGGGACTACAGGTGCATCTCACCACCACACCGAGCTAATTTCTGTATTTTTTTTTTTTTAGTAGAAACAGGGTCGCACTTCATGTTGGCCAGGCTGGTCTTGAACTCCTGACCTCAAGTGATTTGCCTACCTTGGCCTCCCAAAGTGCTGGGATTACAGGTGTCAGCCACCACACCCAGCCAAAAAATAATATATTAAAAACCATACTTTAACACTACACTGATACAAAGGTGAATATATTAATATCACATAGTAAAACCTTTTCTTATCCTGAAAGTTCATTTTATTATTCTGATGTTAAAAGCAATTAAATCAGGGTACTAAATATAAGGTGGAAAGAAAAATATAAAAGGAATTAAAATATTTGCATGGGGTCAGGTGTGGTTGCTCACACCTGTAATCCCACCACATTGGGAGGCTGAGCCAGGAGGATCACGTAAGGTCAGGGGTTTGAGACCAGCCTGGCCAATGTGGTGAAACCATGTCTCTACTAAAAATGCAAAAATTAGCCAGGTGTGATGGCAGGCGCCTGTAATCCCAGCTACTCAGGAGGCTGAGGCAGGAAAATCACTGGAACCTGGGAGGCAGAGATTGTGGTAAGCCAAGATCACACCACTGTACTACAGCCTAGGCAACAGAACGATACTCCACCTCAAAAAAAAAAAAAAAAGAAAGAAAGAAAGAAAGAAAACATTTTCATGGTTGCTTAAAAGTAGTATGGTCCTGGGCAATGGCTCTAACAGAGAAGCCAGCCCTGCCTTCACTGTGATTAAAGGAGGATGTTGACAAGAGAGGACCAAGTCATCCTGCACCCTTTTCACAGAGACAACACGGACAGCTCCCGGTCATCAGGTCACCTGATACCCACATTCCCTCAGAAGGTGGTGGCAGCTTCACTTTTCCACTTAAGAGCCAGAAGTTCTTGGATATACCAAAAAGGGAGATTATTTCCAACAGCTCAGTGTTCCACATTAACAGTAGAAGACATGAACCCATTACTGATATAGCGAGCCTTCACAGAGATTAAATAAAACGAAAAGAAAACACATTTGTCAATTTGCCACAAATCTGTTATTGAAAAAAAGAATTGCTTTGGCAGTATCTCTTATTTAAAAAGATAAAAGATTTGACCAAAAGGGAAGGGGATGTTGAATACATATTCTAAAACCATGCTGGAAACAAAAATATCTTCTAAGAACACAGCAATGCATTTTAAATGCACTCAAAATTCAATGCAGCACTAAGACTCCACATATTTTTTCAATTCTGAAAATCTTTAACTTGGCATGCTAAATATCACTATTCTCTTGTAGATGGCAAACTTTTCTTCCTTTTCTGCTCCCTGAAACATTTCTGTGCCCCTGAGAGCCATCCCAGGCCACTGTTCTTTGCACCCTATTGCAATTCTAGGGTGACCTCATCCAAACACATTCAGCCCCCTTGAATGAATTGATGGTCCCCATCCAAAGCTCCATCCCAGTTCAGGCACCTCTCCCATGGATCCAGCCTCTAGCCTGATCCACCTAGAAGTCCCCTGAGCATGCTATGCCCATACCCTTCCCACATCATCCTGCTTCCCTTCTCAGTGAAAAGCATCTCCCACCAACCCCAGCGAGAAACCCAGTTCCCCCAAACTTCTGTGTTTGACTCATTCCCCAAATCCACAAAGACCAAGTCCTTCAGAGTCATTTTCCTTGGAACCCCCAACAACTATTCCCTCTGCTGTTCCCTTGGTTTAAGGACCTCTTTCCCAACATTAATGCAAGAACTGCTAATTTATCTCTGGGCCCATGTCCAATGCATTCCCCACATGAAGACAAGAATGGCTCCAAAACACATTAACTGATGATGTTGCTTTCCTGATGAAAATCCTTCAAAGGCTGCCCCATAACCTTCAAGAACAAGTTCAAACTCCTCAGCTAGTACAATACAGCCTTTCATGATTTTCACTCTGCTTTCAAAGGCTAAGTGTAGGTCCCCATATGCAACATGCCACTTCACACTTCCGTGCCTTTGACCAAGCTGTTCTCTTTGCCTGGATTGCTGGGCCACCCTACTGCCCTTTTTAATTTTTTTCTAATCTTCTCTTTTCCTCTACTATTTTTTGCTAACTCCAATTCATTTTTCAAATGCAATTTGGTCACCACTT